TTTGAGGAATGTCGGCACTTGGTCTCACTGATGACATGACAAAAGCATGAGTCATTTGTATAATGAAGAATAACTTGTCGCTTCTTATGGAAGATTTGTAATAAAACTCTCTGCACATAGGTACTAATAAGTTGTGTACTTATATATATGTTTTATTTTATTTATTTATTAATGGTCTAATACAAGGAACTGTAATTATAGGTATATGGGTGTGTTCTAAGTTTTCTCTAAATTTTATCGGAACGCTCAATAGAATGTTGAATTTATAGATTTGTGTAACAGGTACGTAAAAGCGAAGCCTTTTCCAATTTTTGATGGTCAACCACAAGTAATGGAACTAAAGGAAGGAGTTGACAATCCGCCATTTTAGAATTCTGATGATTCAGTTTGAATTCCGAACACGTAGCGCGTCGACAGCACCGCTGACCGCTTCCCCGCCGCTGTGCTGCGCCGTTGTTACAAAATGCTGCTAGATTACATTACCTACACATAGTGTTACTCGTACATTATCTGTGTATGTGTAAACTATCTACACACACGAGGAAGTTTCATTCAACTTTTCCAAAGCACGCACACCACAGATAATTATTTAATAGCCATTATTAAACTCAATTTTACAAACAATACTTGACAACCAGTAAATGTACAACAATTTTGTTGATTTTTTTTATTATTTCTAAACAATTATTCCGTATCTTCTGAACGCATTACCTTTAGATGAAACTAAACCATTACATCACATGTTAGTTTTTAATCAAGATCATTTAAAACACTTTATAATTCCGTGACTTACGTAATTTATAACTAGAAATCTATAGAGAGATATGTAATTTGGCGAACCCATACACTAGTTCTAATTCTTCAATTATGCAACTCACATAGCACCAACGGTGAAGTCGTGCTTGTACCCTTATGATGCCAAGTAAGAAGTCCATGACATATTGAGGTTATGAACAATGGCATAAACGGTATTAAGTGTTAAGATTAAATTAAATCATGTTTAACCAGAGCTCAACGTAAGCAGTTAGTGTTATTTTGATGTCTTAATAAATAAATTAAGTGTACTTTTCATTATAACGATTGACATATCCGTTTTCTACATCCATACATAACAGTAGAGATAGATGAGATAGAAAAATTAAAGTTGAATTAAAATATAATAATGAAAATCACTTTGCATATTTTAGTAAGTTTAGGGGGAAAATAATGAGCATAATTACAAAGTGGTACTGTTTTAGATTTGGGATAAGGAAACCTTAGAGCATTAAACACGGAGGGGGCATCATATATATCCTATAAGTAAAGGCTATAATTGAATTAACTGACTACAAACAACCCTATGTAGAGGCTTAATAAAAAATTGACAAATCATGAATAGACCAACTAAAGTTTCAGTTACAAATAAAAAAACTGTATATTCCATAATATATAATTTTGTTATATTTGAAATTAAGACTGCATGTTAGACGTTATTGCACGTGATAAGTGTGATATGTCTGTCTTTTCCAATTATCATAAAAAAATCTTCCCCCTAAGTATTTACTTGTATTTGATTTTGATATATTTCTTTTTTTTTTTTTTTCATATAATGCAGGGGGCAAACGAGCATGCAGCTCACCTGTTGGTAAGTGACTACCGCCCCCTATGATCACTCACAACACCAACGGCATTGCAGGTGTGCTGCCGGTCTTTTAAAAAGGAATATGCTATATATTAACAGATTCAATTTACTTAGAGCTTTCAGGTGAAAAAAAAATTATGATTTTTTCATCTATGAATGAAACCTCATGGAAAAACATGAAGAGAATTTTTCTCATAATTTGGGCAATTAAGATAAATATTAAAGATGTGATGATGTGTTTAAATGTTTTTACACTTTCTAATTATTACAGTAATGCAGTGAACTTTATTAATCAGGTAGCATTATTTGCATCAGACAAGAGCGAAATTAAATATTGACCAACTTTGTTGCATATTGTAATCAAAAATGTATAAAGGATAGGTATTTATGTTAATTAAGGTCATTTATTAAGTTACAGTTTAATAGCGATTTGAAATATTAATTAACATTTTAAAATACGACGACGAAAGCAATCGCAAAGGTTGCCATTCATTAGTTCATTGTTTATTTTATTATTGTTGAAGCTGTATGTAAAATATACGTTTGTCTAATATTTATTAAAAAAAAGGCCTTGGGCGTAATTTCAATCTTTGTTCACACCACAGAGTAATTACTACGTTATTTGTTCACACGAAAATCAATGTAGTGATGTTTCCTGTATGATCGGTGATACCTCCGGTGATCAAAATAACATTATTTATGTATTAAAGAAAAAATAATCGCTAGGTGTTGATTCGACGATCATTAGAGGAAGGGCTTGTGACAAAAACAAATTTACCCACAATAAAAATAGGTGTTACATTTAATATAAAGAGTATTGACGTTGTGTGCGTTTTTTTTTTTTTTTTTTTTTATTTAATAACTGTATATTTTAATGTATGAAACATTAAAATTGTACCAATCACCTAGTATTTTTAGGAGAAAATACAAGTAATACAGAATTGACCGAATTAATAAGTATATAAAACTATTTTTACAGTGTACAGTCTAAAAATCTATGATTTTGCTCTACAAAAAACACCGATGTTAATCGTGGTAAAACGAGTTATATTAATTTAAAAACTAAAATACTGGACCAATTTTGATAAAAATTTTATGGGACCGATCTAAAAGTACGTTCTTTTTTCAAAGTAAAAATAGAACTTTTTCAAATTGGTTTATATAAAAAAATATCATGTTATGAGGTAACAGACTTAAAACTAATACGAGTACAATTAATTTGAAAATTTCCACTTTTTTTAAGTCGATTGAATATGATGTTCAATTACATTTATATACAAAATTTAACAGATTCGATTACGCTATGGGGAGTGTACTACCTACAGTACACCATGATCTTTGACAAAACCACTATGACATACTTTTAAACGTGAATAGCGAGAGCACTAGCTATTGTAAATGATTGTGTATCTCATCCGGTTAATTCGTTAGAGTATAAATATATGTATGTATATAAACTAGCTACTTTAATCACAGTTTTAATTGTATATACAATAATGTCAATGATTTCTTGTAAACATTAAATGTGTCATACAGTTTTAAATCATAAAGCTTTATTTATATCCGGTGTTTTTACAGACATATCACCGTTTTTAATAGACATGTTCAGATACAATATTAATACGCACATAAAATATAATTACTGTATTTTAAATATTGTCAGAGCCTTACTTAAAATATCAGCTTGCAATTATATTTGATACCTTAATTTATAAAAAATAATATTAGGTCAACACGTGGCGATATCTTCGTCAATTCTGTATCGATCGATACTGTACTTAATCGATAACATACACACTAAAATACAGACGAATTGAGAACCTCCTTTTTGAAATTAAAACTTCTTACTGTCACAAATTCGTTACTCATACACAAAGGCAAACAAGTTAGGCGGAATCGTTAAGAAAAAAAAGCAAATGTAGCACACTTAAGTTCAAGTCGGTGAGTCAAAATGACGTAGTCCATTCATGCTGTGCTGAGGTGTCTTCGGTACAGGAGAACGGCCGATCTTGTTCTGAGAAACGTAATTTATCTTGCGTTTACGATACTACGTGTGATTCATTTCGGAAATATTTAGATTCGCCATTCATCGATTTTGCATAGTTATCAGAACTTCAATATAATTAAGCTCCGTAAAAACCAACAACTTTAATCGTGATAAAATTGATGTGGAACCAACAAGGAAGTAAAAATGATCGGCTACAATTTTTTTTTAAATTGGTGCAGAATTAAGGAAGTTCTAACTAAAATTAAAGAGGAAGAGACACATTTTGGGAAATTGTAAGTGAAGTGAGCAATTTGTACTCTTATAATAATTTTTAGGTATTTTTTGTTTATATATACGAGTATATCGTCTATTTACTATTTATACCTAAAGAAATAAATAAAAACGTCATTCTTTTTTAAATTGCTTAAAAATAATTTAATTAAAGTGTTTAAAAAAAATAATTTTATGTCTCTTGCACTTGTAATACCTGGTAAGATACTTCGTTACCCAGTCGCCTTTTTTAATATCCTGGGGTTGAGAAAAAGTGCTAATATATTGTTCTCATATCTCTGATTACTTTATTGAATTACGTACATCGTTGATCATTTTAATTCTAATGTCATTAATGATAACGTTAGACATAACAGTTATATAGGTAGAAGTTCAATTAAATATTTTAAGCGAATCTACGTCATTAATTTAAAAATATACGTAATCAGTACCTACAGTGTGATTCTAAAAATAAGTAATTGATATAATCATTAAAATCGCCTCACAATTGGCAAAGACAGCTCACGTTTTAAAACGAGGAGTATAAATGAAGAAGTCGACGTTACACAACATAAAAACACTCAAGTATATTAATTATATTATTATATAACAATTTTTCGCACTTCAAAATCACTCGATTCAAATTCAATACTTTCGAATGGACTCAATATAAAAGATTCACACGAGTAAGACATGATGGCAGAGTATATTGTTCTTTTGATTGTCTTTGCTTATTTTTTTTTTATTTTTCATTTGTGTCATGATGAAACTATTTTCATATGCAGACGAACGAAAAATATTATACGAAAACAAAATATTTAAATTATTAACTGACATACATATTAGTAATATGTTTGTGCATTGCTTGTAGGTAAAAGCCTAATTAAAACGGCATTTAAATCACTGATAATCATGGATGATTGATTAACGTGCTTTCTGGTGCACGAAGCAAATAATAATAATTTTGAAAATGTTCAAATATGAATTTGTAAAGTTCTGAGAGATCGGAGACAAGCGTTCTCCGGGTTGTGACTGCATTTTAAAACGTATTTATACGATATCTTTAGATCATAAATAAAGATATATCATATACGTGTAATACTTTTATTTACGAGTACTTACCCGTAGATCTGCTGTCACTTTCACAGTAAGCGGAAAGTGATATCTCGGCCCTGCAAAGGAAATGAAAGGTATTAGAGATACGGTAAAATAACAAGAATTATTTGCTTAGTGATCGATTTCTTATCCGCAATCTAACTCTTGAAATGGTCTTCACAGTACTATGTTTACTAATGTATTTTGTTATGTCACTGTAAAATCAAAAGTATATTAAAGTCATATTATTTTATACTGTTTTTCAAGCGAATTTAAAAGAGGTTTTGAATTTAACTGTTATTTTGTATGTTTGTTACATGATATCTTCGTTAATTCTGATGTGATTTTGTAAATGACCCTTGTAATCAAAAGGTTTAGTATCGTAGTAAGCTCCATATTAATTTTGTCACCATTCAAATGGGTTTTATTTCATGGAAAACTTAAATTCTTTACATATTTGGTACCATCATCATCTCAGCCATTATCTGTCCACTGTTGAACATAGACCTCCCCCGAACACTGCCATACGGAACGATCTTGAGCCTCCTGCATCTCAAGATTCCCTGTAATCCATCTAGTGGGGGTTCGTCCAGCTTATTTGGTATACTAAATAATAATTTACATATATTTGTTACTTTGTGATTTATTAAGGAGATTTATTTTTTACGTAATAACATTTTATATCTAAATATTAGTAATTGCAACATCTGCTAAGTACCTACGTACTGAATTCTTAATTCTTTCAAGTGAAAAATCGGTAGTGTGTCAAATTCATTTATCGGAATTCCTTCACTATCTTGACATTGATAATTGGACAGAAGCTTCACGAGTGTTTGGTATCAAACAAATAGTGAATAAAAACATATCAGTTTACATTCGGTCATGGCGAATGATTAGCTGAGGAAAAACTATCGTCGCGTGTGCCAGAATACTTTTTTTCTGATTAATTTTAATGTTAAATTTTTAAGCATTTTTGCATGAACTAGTTGTTTCCTTTTCCCGTTGGAATTTAGGAAAATTCCTTGATAGTGGTTACCTACATTTTATAAAGGACTAGTCGGGATCGGGATATGTTAATTGACTAAGATTGACTATACTCTTTTCCATCCCAAACAGTACTTGTATACCAAATTTAACGACGATTGGTTGAGCCGTTGAACCGCTATATAGGTAAGAAGCTCACTTTTACGAAAAGTGAGTTTTCTCAACTTTTTGATGAATAATCAGTGATATTGTGGATAGTGGATATTGTGAAAAATAAAGTTAGTATATATATAATATACTTCTTCTTGTTGAAACAAAATGTACTACTAATAGGTACGAATTATTGTACCAATGTCCATTTTATGATTATAAAATCTACCAACAATATGGTTTATAAGTTGCAATTACAAAGTAACATGTTTACAGAGGAAAACCGCAAATGCTAGTGTAATCATCAATTTTAAACAATTACGCACAAACATGTAAAAGAATGTCAAGTGTTGTTGTTGACTTCTGTGTTATTAACTTACTTAGATTCTTTTTTTTTCAGCCGATTTTAAAAAGAAGGAAGTACACAATTCGATTGTATTTTTTGTTTATATTTGTTACCTCATAACTTCTTCAGTTGTAAACCGATTTGGAAAATTCTTTTTCTTATCTGAAAGGATATATTTATAGATTAGTCTCATAGAAATTTTATTAAAATCGGTTCAGTAGTTTAGTTGTTAAATTAAAATAACTAATTTTGTCACAATCAAAATTGTTTTTTTTTTGTGAAACGCAATCTTAAATTATATAGAAATAAATAAAGTTACTAGAACCAACAGACTTGCATATATTAGAGAGGTAGGTTTGATTTGCCTTTATATGATGAGATATCATATAGATAACAGATTAAACAGTGAATAGATTTTTTGCTATGCAAAAAATGGCGAATTCAGTTATATGGTTTTTAGTAGGTAAGAATGATTTATCTCATCTTGCCTTGTGTGTCTCTTTCTAAAATTTTTTGTTATGAGATGAAAAAATGAATGGTAATCTCGCTTGCGTTATGCTGGCAGAGTACCATTAAAGGATATACAAGTGAACATGAAGTCAAATCAGTCTACCGTGGCGAATTCATTATTCGGGATTGTCTACGATGGTTTTCTGAGGGATTGCATAAAAGTTAGCACTATGTGGTAATAAACAAACTGACTTTCATATTTATAATATTAATAAGGATTAGGTATTGCGGGACACAAGATATGAGATCAAATATTTATCGAAAATATAAAACTACGTGTCTAGATGTATTTTTTTTTATAAAATTTAAAAGGAACTAGGTACGTTTCATATGAAACTTACTGAGTAGTTAAAAATTAGTACATATCTTGGTCAAATGCGTTTTATTTATACATCGGTTTTTTCTTGCACTTTATGTATTGGGTTTTTTTCTGTATCAATGAAATAGACAAATCCATTAAACAAAACAGTGTTTTCCCTCAAAGCGTGTCACTTTAACGACTATTCTAATGCGTCAATTGTATGTAAAGTACAAGATTGGATGGAACTGGGTGTGTTGCACTTAGTGTACTCGTCTGACTCAACAGCATTGTTGACATTATTTGGTTGCTTACAATTATTACTACTGAATTATTAAAATGTTTATCTTTGTATGTTAATATACCAATTATTTTTAAGTACATCGTCAACGAAGAATAATTAAGCTCTACACAAAACAGCATTTTATACAGAGTGTCTATATAGTAAATTCTTTATTGGATTAAAATAAAAAAACAAATATTTTTTAATTGTAAAACATTAAATAAATAGATAGAATATAAATAAATAGAATTCTTGTATATGTGGTATTCTGTGTAAGTTTTATAAAAATATATCACACAAATATGCGTTGCCGAGCATTGCTGGTAACAAGAAATATGGTTGATTTCTTGCGTAACGGATCGCCACTGGAATACAACAAGAAAAATGTGACCAGAATTCTACTCTTATTGTACACAATACCTGTGACCTCAAAAGCAGGATTAACACAAGTTAATAGATAATTTATTGAATCCTAATTTTTATAACTACAATATATACAGTACTAAAGATCAGAGGACTACCATGAAATGTTTTCCGAAATATCGGGGCAGAACGAAACACAAATTTGATGTTAAAATTACATAATACTTATCGTTTAAAAACATTAAAAAAATATTCCTTTGAACTTTTATGGTAGTATTTATGACGAACGAAATATTAAGCTCCTATTACTGGGCCGTATTAGGTATGAACGAAAACACGAAATCGAATCCGAAACTTCGGAATTTCATTTCATGGTAGGCCCCCAGGCCCGGCTTCGCACAGTAGATAGAATATTCGAAAATAATTTATAGTTCATGTTACTTGTTAATAATGTAGCTTCTTATTGATGAAAGAATTTTTAAAATCGGATGAGTAATTTTTGAGTTTATCCATTACTAATAAATAAACACAAATATTTACTCTTTATTATACTAATATAGGTATACACAGGTAAAAAATTAAGAAAAACTGTTTGAACGTCTAATATAACCGTTATAAATATGGCACCTAAAGATCATTTATCGTAGATCATCACCGGATGAATAAATAATAAAATTGTACATTCACCTCTAATGACCAACCGTTAGTTGCGATAACACAAGTGCACCGCAAGTATAATACAAATAAAGTGACGGTAAGACGATATGTTTCATCCGCCACATAAGGGAGGACGATTATCATAACGGGGGAATTTGTTGATGGTTGCGAGTAAAATTTCAGGTAATTCGACCACACAGTGAGAGGATCTATTTACTACAATCTGTTTCAATTGAACTTACAGAATGAGTAGATCTTATTAAATTGTTTGTATGATCCATTAATTGTCCACTGCTAAAACATAATCCTATATAAACATAACTTCCCCATAAGGGGGGTTTTATCAGTAGTTGCCACGCTTGGCAGACCGCAGTTTGAATTTTGGTGCTGTTTTAAGAGGAACGCTGTTGCCCATCCATCCACTCACTCCTCTTACGACACCCGCGGGAAAGGAAGGGGTGGGCCATTCTATGCTGAGACCTACACAGCTATCTATTCTATTCCTATTCTTTCACTGTCCAAGCTATCCGTCTCTGGAACTCCTTACCTTTTTCTATTAGATCAGCACAATATCTTGCCTCTCTAATTTGCTTTGACGTTTACTATGTGTGATTTATCTTGATCTGTTTAATATATTAATGTATTTATGTTTATGTATTATTATTTATATTATATATGTATGTTTATGTATTGTAATCTTATTTTTATATTTAGAATATTTTGCATTTTGTTTGATTCCTTTTATGTATATACTGTGTCTGACTTGCGCCATCTATCGTTCTCTCTGTATTTATCCATTCTTTATGCCAGGTTGTCTGTAAGAGATTGCTTTTAGCAATAAGGCCGCCTTTTGTATATGCACATTCTGTATAAATACTCCTTGTATACATCTCTACTGTGTGCAATAAAGAGTTTTATTATTATTATTATTATCTACTTAAACACTTCAATAGAACTTAATGGAAAGGTAAGCAATTTTATATTTCTTTATTGCACTCGAACAAAAGATACAGCGATTAGTTTAACAATTTGTTAGCAAGGGTGGGCTTATCTCTGAAAAAGATCTCTCCAGCCAACCCAATGCAATTAGAGAGACAATAATTAATTACAATATAGTTTTTTTAATTACTATAGAAACACTAAATTAAATTAGTAAGTATCAAATCAAAACTGTCTACCAATTTAATTCAATAAAATTTAATATTTTGTCTGTACTGCTATTGGATATCAACAGACTTTTTTTTATTTTATTTTTTTTATTTACATTTTCATTCTCTTGAAATAGCCTATAAATAGTAATTTATCAAGATATTATAAGAAGGAGGTCAACGGAGGAGGTACATTTGTCTTTTCTTCGCTAATTCTAATAATTAATTTTGTGCTCGGTAATGTTTTTATCCGTGTTGGTCCTACTTTTATTTTATGTCGATTGAAGTTACCGTGTTTCTATTTTCTTTGCGAAGTAGAACTCTGATTTTGAATTCAA